ACCAAATAAAAGTAAAAACAAACCCAAATATAAGGCCAGAGAGATAGTCCATGAGGTATGACTCTTGCTTTACATGCAGCTGACTGTGGTTCAATATTGAAAATAGAGCCAGGAATACCCCCCCCCCAGCACCATTGGGAGTGACTTTCAAATCCCTCTAAACAAAAAAAAAACTTAATATATTTCCAATTTCATTTAGAGCGAGTAGACTGTCTTTTAAAAAAAAAGTTCTAAAATTGATTATGGTAGTACAGTTTTGTTACTATTCTAAAAGCCATTGGATTATATACTTCAAAAAGAGAATTATGAGGTTATAGAGATAGTACAGCAGGTAGAGTATTTCCCTTGCACATAAGTGACCCAGGATGAGACTCCAGCACTGAATATGGTCCCCAGAGCATCACCAGGAGTGATCCCTGAACACAGAGTCAGCAGTAAGCCTGAAGCACCGACAGATGTGCTCCTGCACCAAAAAAAAAAAAAAAAAGAAAAAGAAAAGTAAATGAAGAATTGTGGAGCCAGAGAGTACAAAGATTAAGGGGCTTGACTTAATTATAGCCAGGGGTCAAACTTGAGCACAGATACCAGAAGCAGCCCCTGAGTACCCTCAGGTATAGTCCAAACAAACAAATACCCCAAATAATCAAAAGAGGAGAATTGTGTCCTATGTGAATTATATCTTAACAAAGTAGTTTTTGAATGGATCATTGTTAAACAATTTGATAGGGAGAATGTGGTATAAACAATGAAATACTGTACAGTCACAAAAAAGAAGGAAATCCTGACATTTGCAGAACGTGAATGGACCCCAAGGACATTATACTAAGTTAAATGAATCAGAGAAAAACATACTATATGATTTCAATTATATGTCAAATCTAAAACTCAAAAAAAAGGGGCTGGACTAACAGCACAGCAGGTAGAAAATTTGTGTGGCATACAGCCAGTCCAGGTTTGATTCCTGGCATCCCATATATCCCCCCCCCCCCCCCCCCCCCCCCCCCCAAAGCACTTCCAGGAATGATTACTTAGTGCAGAGCCAGGAATAACCTGGATGCCACCAGGTATGGCCCAGAAAACAAAAAAAGAAAATACAAAACAATTAAACTCAACTCATACATAAAAGAACAAAGTGGATGTTGAATTGGAGGGGGTTAGGTAGAAGAAGAGCAAGAGGAAGAAATTTCCCATTTTAAAATAAGTAAAGTAATTCAGGCCAGAGAGATAGTATGTATAGTGTATGTATAGCAAGTAAGGTGCTTGTCTTATACTCAGTTGACCCAGGTTTGATTCCCAGCACTTCATATGGTCCCCTGACCACCACCAGGAGTGATCCCTGAACACAGTTGTGTGTGGCTCAAAATCCAATAAAATAAGTCATGGGGGGGGGTATAGTGCACAGCATTAGGTCCACAGGTGATGGTATGCTATTACAATTTTGAAATTTTGCTAAGATTAGATGGGAAATTGATTTGTTGTGAATATTTTATATTACAGATAAATGTCATCTCATTACCCTGCATATCTGAAAATTGTCAGACAGGCTGAAAATAAAACTCAACTACGTACAACTTACAAAGAATTTAACTAGAAGTTGAATGGTAAATAGTACATCCTAGAAGCAATAACCATAAGAAAACTGATATGCAATACAGCTGGCCCACCTCCAATTCCCCTGGTCTTAAAAACTCAATAAAATGTCTAAGAAGCATAATAACAGCAACTGACGAAAAGATGAAGGAGCTCCAAGATGAGATACAGGAAACCACTAGAAAACAACAGAAGAGGAAAAAAAATTGTAAGTAAACAGAACATCAAAAAACTATGGTCAGAAGGAACAAGATAAGAATCATCAGAGTCTCTGGAGAACAGGAGGTGAATATTATGGAGAACCACTAAAAAAATCATAGAAAAGACTTTCCCAGAGTTGAGGAGTATAAAGGTAAAGGTAAAGGCCCTCCCGTTGATCGTCGATTTGCTCGAGCGGGCCCAGTAACGTCTCCATTGGAGACTTTGTTGTTACTGTGTCTGGCATATCGAATACTCTCGGTAGCTTGCCGGGCTCTCCGAGAGGGGCGGAGGAATCGAACTCGGGTCGGCCATGTTGGCCGCTTGTAAGGCGAACGCCCTACCCGCTGTGCTATCGCTCCAGCTCCAGTATAGGCACCCAGATACAAGAGATCCAAAGTCTCAGCAAAAATGGACCAAAATAGAAAAACTCCAAGACTCATTATAATCAGAATGATAAAATCCAGACAGAATGTTGAAAGCAGCAAGATAAAATAAAAAACTTACAAACAAAGTAAAGCCCTTAAAGAGTCACAGCAGGGGCTGGAGCAATAGCACAGTGGTAGGGCATTTGCCTTGCACACAGTCAACCAGGTTTGATTCCCAGCATCCCATATGGTCCCCTGAGCACCGCCAGGAGTAATTCCTGAGTGCATGAGCCAGGAGTAACCCCTGTGCAACGCTGGGTGTAATCCAAAAAGAAAAAAAAAAGAGTCACAGCAGATTTATCAAATGAAACTCTATGAGACAGAAGAGAATGTTGGGATATAATACAAAAACTCGATGAAATGAACACGTCACCAAGAATACTCTATCCAGCTAGATTATCATTCAGATTTGAAGGGATGATTACAGAGTTCCATAGAAAGGCAGCACTTAGGAAATTCATACTATTGAAACCAATTTTGCTAGAAGGATCCTCTTTAAAAGACAGGACAAGCTTCTCAGCACTTTAACACTGATTATGGCATTCCCTTATGGTGCTTATGGTTGCCCTCTACAAGATTAATAAAGGTATATTTAGTATTGATCCCTGAACACAGAGCCAGGACTAAGCACCACCAAGTATCGCCCAACCCTCAATTATTTATTTGTCTTATGTTATTTTTTAAATTAGGGCACCATGGTCTACAAAGTTATTTATAGGTGGGTTTCAGGCATAAAATATTCCAATAATGATCCTACCACCAATGATAACTTCTCCCCACCAGTGTCCCCAGATTCCCTCCCAATCCTTGAGCCTGCTTCCTTGACAGACACATTTTTAAGTTTAGTCATTGTAGTTGCCCAAATATTTTTGCCCATTTTTTTAAGAGTGCAAGTGCCATGGCCAGGAATGCCAAGTACATATATGAGAATCACAACTTAAGGATGTGGTTCCTGGTGGAGTAAGGGCATCGATATGTATCAGTTTACCACGCTAAAGACAATAGGATCAGCAGCTTTGGCCTCCATCCAGCGGGCATTGTTTGCAGAGAATGAGATAGTCACACAAGAAGTGTGCAAGCTTTGGGGCTGCCTGGGTAGCCCCCCATAAGCTCACAGGCTGGCTATTTTGTCAATGCAATATCACTCCTGGTTCCCAACATATTAACCGTTGTTTTAGCTGACAGAGACATTAAGGATACTAAGCACATCAGAACTTAATGTAGCATTAGGAAGATGCAAAAAAAAATAAGATATTACTTTATACCACAGAGACTGGCACACATCAAAAAGAATAAGAAAAGCCAGTGCTGGCGTGGATGTGGGAAGAAAGGGACTCTCATTCATTGTTGGTAGAAATAGCAACTGGTTCAGTTTTTAAAAAAAAAAAATGGACATTCCTCATAAAACTAGAAACTGGGGGTGGGAGGGATACTGGGATCATTGGTGGTGGAGAATGGGCACTGGTGGAGGGATGGGTACTTAATCATTGTATAACTGAAACCCAAGCACAAAAATTTGTAAGTCTACAACCTCAAGGTGTTTCACTAATAAAAATTAAAAAAAAAAAAAAACAAAACTAGAAACTGAGATTTCATCTGACCACTTCTGGGAATATCTCCCCAGGGTGCAAAAAACATACAGCAGAAATGACATCTGCATTTGTATGTTCATTGCAGCATTGTCCATAATAGCCAGAATCTGGAAAAAACCTGAGTGCCTGAGAACAGGTGACTGGTTGGTACATCTACACAATGGAACACTATACAGCTGTTAGAAAAAAAATGAAGTTACGAAATTCGCTTATAAATGGATGGACATGGAGAGTATCATGCTGAGTGAAATAAAGAGAAGGAGAGGGATAGACATAGAATAATTAGACTCATCTGTGGGATTTAAATAACCAAGGGCAGTAGAAACAAGGGCCGGGAAGATTGGCCCATGGTTGGAAGTCTGCCTCAAGGGTTAAGGGATAGGGCAGTTGGAATAGAGAAGGGACCATTATGACAATGATAATTGGCAGGGATCCCTCTGGATGAGACATTTGTGCTGAAAGTGAATAAAGCACTAAACAGGATGGCCTCTCTGTATCTGTATTGCAAACCATAATGCCCCCAAATAGAAAGAGACCAAGAAGAAAAGTGCCTACCACTGAGGCAAGCTCAGAGGGGGGCGGGTCTGGGATATTGGTAGTGGGAAATGCACACTGGTGAAGGAATAGGTGTTGAAAGATGGACTCAAACCCGTTCACGAAAGCTTTGTATCTCACCGTGATTCAACGAAAAAAAAAATAATCAATGTTAAAGAAAAACAAAAACTCAGTAAAGGGGAACTCTTGCCAAGTCTGGTCACCCCGGCTACGGCTCGCAGGAGGGGTGGGGCGGGGTGCGGGGGGTGCAGTGAGGGCGGGTGAAGCTTGATCTTCCTTAGCTGTCACCGCCTCCGGCGCTGGCGTGGGCTGCAGATGAGGTACAGCCGGGGTTCCCAGCGCACAGCACGAGCATCCCCCGCCCTGAAGCCGGGCTGCCAGAGGAACTCGGGTCGGGACTGCGCCAGGCAAACTGTGGGTGAGCGTGTCTTCGGGGTGGGGGGGACTCTGCAGTGGACCCTTGAGGATCCGGGGAGGGGGAGGCAGCTGCGCCCCGGCCATCTCCTCCTACTCCCCCATTCCCGCACCGTCCCGGGGACCCGTCAGGGCTTCCCGCTTACTGGCTGGGCAGGACGCGCGCCCCTCTCTGCCTCCCGCGCCGGCGGCCACCTGTCTTTGCCCCGGAGAAGCTTCTCTCATGTCCATGCAGTGCCAGGAGCCCTCAGAGAAGGGCGAGACAGGGACCCAGAGCCGGCGGGGCAGCCCGGGTGCGGCCGAGGAGCCGCCCCCCGAAGAGGCGCGCCTGGCCCACGCCCTGCGGGAACTCCGGGAAGCTGGTTGGTACTGGGGACGCCTGACGGTTCTGGAAGCCAATGAGAAATTAAAAGAGACCCGAGAAGGAACTTTCTTGATTCGAGACAGTTCGCATTCAGGCTACCTCCTAACCATATCCGTCAAAACATCAGCTGGACCAACTAATCTGCGCATTGAATACCAAAATGGGACGTTCAGGTTGGACTCTTTCGTCTGTGTCCAGTCCAGGCTTAAGCAGTTTGAAAGTGTGGTTCATCTGGTTGACTACTATGTTCAGATGAGCAAGGAGAAGCGGACAGACCCTGAAGCCCTCGGCACCGGTAATGTCCACCTTTACCTGACCCAACCGCTCTACATGTCTACGCCACCGCTGCAGCATCTCTGTAGACTGACCATTAACAAATGTACCAGCACCATCTGGGAACTGCCTTTACCAACAAGACTCAAAAATTACTTGGAAGAGTATAAATTCCAGGTATAAGCACTTCTCTTTTTCTAAACATGCCTTATGCAGGGCTCTCTCTCTTGGAATGCAGCTATGCAAAAGAAAGCCAAAACACCAGTGACTGGTCTGGATAACGAGAAATTCTAAGGACAGCTGAATTCAATCTAATCTTAGCGTGTGATGAGATAGTTTGGTAGTTAGAGTTCCCTTCTCTCCTGTCCCCCTCCACCCGAACCCTTATCCCAATATTTTTCACCTCAGTGATGCTTCCTTTTCCAGAGCCTGACCAGGACCAGTTGATCCTTTTAAATGAAAAAGAAAATACTCCCAAGGCCAGGCTGAAGAAGCATGTGATCAGAATGCCATTCCCCTCTGAGGTTCCTTCCTGTTAAGGCTGACGTGTGAGCTTTAGTGGTAGAGAAGGAACCAAGCTGACACTGACTTCACTTCAGCCTTCTGGGCCTGGTGTTTCGAGTATGTTAGGTCAGTTTATATTTTTCGATCTGAAGTGTTAGATAACATTGGTGTGTTCTTGTTCCTCCCACAGGGAGCTTAGGTTTATTGAGTTACTCTCACCACAGTACTCCCAAGGCACTCCCAATTCCATCAGGCACTAATAATACTACATTGCTTTTCTCTTTATGCCCTTTGCATAGTTTAGCAATGTCCTTTTTGTATAGACACCGGAAGGCAGTTGATGCTATGCTTTTGTAACTTTTGTAACGTGGGAGTTAACTGACTCCAAATATTATTTACTCCTGGGCATCCATCATATTTACTTAAGCCTCAGTTGCCCTTACTTCCTAACACCGCAGACGGAGGGTCCTGGCGAGCGACTTGGATGGACTCAGGGCAAGTCATAAGCTACCCTGGCATCAGAAAGACTAAGTGCCGTAAGAGGAGTGCTTATGAGTTGGGAGCACAGTCATGGAATAGGCTCTGTCGTGACCCAAGGGGAGGTGACAAAATAAGGACCCTGCTCGGGTTAGGAAAGACTGGCCTGGCCTGAGGACTGTAGTCTGGGATATATAGTGAGATGTCCCCAGGAAGAGCCACCCTTTAAGCTTAAGATATCTCTTGTTCATACATAATGACTAGAAATAAATGGATTACTAGCTAAGTAAAGGAGAAAGCAGTAGTCCTTAGATGGAATCCCACCTTTGAGCAGATCTCCTAATAATCTAGAGTGCTGAACCCCTAGATGAGATTTTGTCCTTGAGTTAATCTCCTAGGAGAACTTCCCCTGAAAGAAGTTTATTATTTTATTTATTGTTATGATAATGCTCAACCACACTTATCTGTACCCCCACCCTTTACTATAACTAACACTGTGAGACTCGAATAAAGGGTCACCGATTACCAACCAGCCTATAGCCCTGTTCCTTTGTTTCTCTGTCAATGTTGGCCAGCCTGGGGAGGCAGTTCTCCGCCACCAAACACACCCATGCTTTGAACTCACACTCATGTATTTAAGAGCCTTGTTAAACACATATGTTTGTATTTCTCCTTCAGTTTATGCTATTAACCAAATCAACAACAAAAAGTGAGACCGTGAAAGTATTTGTCTTTCTTACTACATATATGAACTCTCTCATGTGGATGACAAGTACTGTAATCCATTTTAAGGGAGCCTTATTTCAGAACTATTTCAAACTGGTGTGAACAGGAAAAATGGTGTCTTTTCCTCTAAGGCGGAAGACTGGAATGTTGTGCTACCCAAGTGCAACTGGTTCCTTGTTAAGGACACAATAGACATTTATCCTTGATGTCTCTGTGTCCCTGCTTGTTGTCATTGATTTGGAAATGGCTTTAGAAATTTCCAAGTTGTTCTTGAATTGTCTAGCCATGGACATCAGCTATTGTCTCCCTTCTACCATGTAGAATAATACTTCGATTTAATTTTCTTCCAGATATAGAGGGATCTATGCCTCTTTTTCTTTTTTTATTGAGTTACTGTGAGATGGGCTGTAGTGATAGCACAGCGGGTAGGGTGTTTGCCTTGCAAGTGGCCAACATGGCTGACCCGAGTTCAATTCCTCCACCCCTCTCCGAGATCCCCAATCTACCGAGAGTATCTCGCCTGAATGGCAAAGCCTGGCTAGCTACCAGTGACATATTCGATATGCCAAACACAGTAACAAGTCTCACAATGGAGACGTTACTGGGCCCGCTCAAGCAAATCGATGAACAACAGGAGGACAGTGACAGTGACTGTGAGATAGACCCTTACAAAGCTGTTCATGATTGGATTTCAGTCATACAGTTTTCCAACACCCACCCCTCCACCAGTGTACATTTCCTAGCACCAGTGACCCCAGGTTCCCTCCCATCACCCCCACCCCTGCCTGCCTCTAAGGCAGGTGCTTTTCTTCTCTCTCCTTTTGGGCATTGTGGTTTGCAATATCGATAATGAAAGGTTATTAAGAATATTCCTTTACCTACCTACTTTTAACCCTCAGATCTTGTCCAGTGTGATCAATCCCAGCTATTATTGTCAAACTTGTCTCTTCTCTATCTTAACTACTCTCAGCCCCCCACACACTGGTGGTTAGTTCCAATAATTGACTAGTCCTCCTAACCCCTGTTACCCCTGGCCATGGGTATTATTAGCCTTCTACTATATATTTTTCTGGGTTCGATTCCTCTGCCCCTCTCGGAGAGCCTGGCAAGCTACTAAGAGTATCTCATCCCGCACGGCAAAGCCTGACAAGCTACCCGTGACGTATTCGATATGCCAAAAACAGTAACAAGTCTCACAATTTGTTGTGAGACGTTACTGGTGCCCGCTCGAGCAAATTGATGAACAACGGGAGGACAGTGCTACAGTGCTACTATATATTTTTATATACCACAAATGAATGCAGTCATTTCCTATCTGTCCCTCTCCTTCTGATTTATTTCACTCAGCATGGCACTCTCCATGTCCATCCATTTATTAGCAAACTTCATGACTTCATTTTTCCTAACAGCTGCATAGTATTTCACCAATCAGCCACCTTAAAGTAGAGCATTTGCTCGAGGTAAAGGTAAAGGCCCTCCCGTTGATCGTCGATTTGCTCGAGCGGGCCCAGTAACGTCTCCATTGGAGACTTTGTTGTTACTGTGTCTGGCATATCGAATACTCTCGGTAGCTTGCCGGGCTCTCCGAGAGGGGCAGAGGAATCGAACTCGGGTCGGCCATGTTGGCTTGTAAGGCGAACGCCCTACCCGCTGTGCTATCGCTCCAGCCCAAAGTAGAGCATTAAGTCATGATAATTTTCTATCCAACTTTGCCAATGTTGCCCCTATATCTGAAAGACCCGAAACGGTTTTATTCTATCCTTTTCTGGGCCTGTTTGTTGCCCCACCAGCTATTCTTTGCTGGGCTCACATTTGCTGCCCCATTTTATTCTAAAAGACCTGGTATCTTTTACCCAGGGAACAATCAGCCACGTGCCTGCAAAGTGCCTTAAGCCCTGTACCCTATCTCCCATGCATGTCACAGATTCGTCATCCTGTACCCTATCTCTCATCCAGGTCACCGATTTGTTATCCACCATCTGTTGTTATGAACATAGGTTTAGAAGTACCTTTTTAATTTGTGTTTTTGTGTTCTTGGGATAGAGCCAAGGAGAATTACTGGATCATGTGGCACTTCTATTTTTTTTCCATTTCTTGAGACGTCTCCAAACTGTTTTCCATAGACTGAACCAGTTTACAATTCCACCAACATTAAATGAAGGTAATTTTTTGTATGTGTGTTCACATGGCCACATTCACCGCTCTTTTTTTATTCGAATCATCGTGAACTACAAATTTACAGAGATATTTGTGATTAAGTTTCAGGCATATATTGTTCCAACACCAATCCCTTCACCAGTGCCCACTACCCTCCACCAATGTGCCCAGTTTCTCTCCCAATCCCCAGCCTGCCTCTGTGGCAGGCACTTTTCCCCTCCCCTAACTTATCGCCACCACTCCAACCCCAGTGACAAGCTTCCTACTGAAGACCAGTTCTCCTGCTCTGGGTTTTCTTGTTTGAGGGCCACGCACCGTCACTTAGAGGTAGTCCTAACTCTGCTCTCAGGAATCACTCCTGGCAATGCTAGGGGGACAACCCTAGAGGGTGCTGGGGATCGAACCTGGGTCTGCCTCATGCAAGGCAAGCACCACTGTATTATCTCTTTAGCCCCTGGGTTATTTATTTATTTATTTATTGCTTTTTGGGACACACCCGGCAATGCACAGGGGTTACTCCTGGCTCTGCGCTCAGGAATTACCCCTGGCGGTGCTCAGGGGACCATATGGAATGCTGGGAATTGAACCCGGGTCGGCCACGTGCAAGGCAAACGCCCTACCCGCTGTGCTATTGCCCCAGCCCCACCCCTGGGTTATTTTGTTGCTGTTGTTAAACTGCAACCCAGCCAGTACTGGTGGTTTCCTTCCTTTCTCATATAGGTCACTCTCACTGGTGTAAGGTGATATGTCATTGTTGGTTTTGATTTGTAGCTCTGTTAATCAGCAAGGAGAACACGTTTAGATAGGCCTGTTGGCCATCTGTGTGTCTTCTTTGGAGAAGTGTCTGTTCAGCTTCTCGCTCCATTATTTGAGTAGATGGATGGGCCACATTTTACTGTGATTACTCCTGACTTGGTGTTCAGGAACCACTCCTAGCAGTGATCAGGGGACTGTATATGGTGCTGGGGGATCAAACCAAGGCCAGCCACATACAAGGCAAGCACTTTAACCCCTGTGCTAGGTCTTCCACTCTTGCCCCATGTTTTTGATAGAGTTGCTGGAACAAAATTTCAGATCAATAAATTTGACAACTTGTAAGGAACGATAAATTGTTCAAGGTACACAGACAGCAAAAGTGACAGAGACTATAAGAAAATGTCTAAGTAGTCTATTATCTAGAATAGAAATTGAAGCACTTTATCAAGTATCTTTCTCACAAGGAAAGTCCCAGGCCCCAAAAGACTTTAAACAGTGATTGCTTCTAGGTATTCACAGAAGTGTAGTGGGAGCAGGGATACAATCTTCACAAACACGTCCAG